CCCTTTAATAACAGGGATTTTGGCTTGACAGCTTTGGGCGCGTACGAATAGAATTGCGTCCCCGCTTGCTTCAGCGCGTCCTTAATTTTTTCATATGATTCCTCGTTATTACAAAAAATTGTGTGATTTTCCGAGTTAATTTCCTTAACTGTGCAATCATTTCTCGTGCAATTTCTAGTTTTGATGATTTCAATTAGCATTCATTGCTGCCAGACTAAGCGTATTAATATTACGATTTGCATTACTCATTAACTATTCTTAGCGCATTAAGTATTCGACTAGTGTCATTGGTGTTTCTCGCTACCTGCGCGGCTATGGACTGCAACTGATTACTAATTATATTTGCAATGTCAATTCTATGATTGTTAAGTCAATCAGGTTGCAATGAATTGTTCGGAGTAGTGTCGTTGTTTTTCACGTACCGCTGCGTACGTTGCGTGTGCGGGGGTCTCTCTCCTTCCAGCTGATCTCCGAGGGTAGTCTCCTCCCACGCTGGCTGTCTACCTTTGCCACTTGCGCAAAGGACCAGTTTTCATATACCAAGGAAGCAAGCGTGTCAATCTTCTTCACCACCCGTGACGTTTTATTTGCGGTTACTACTTTTTTTTGCGATGCTGCCAGTTTTAGATAAGGACAACCCCCTCTTTGACCAAGACGTTATTACATATTTTTAAGTTAATGATTCGAGGATTCCTGCTATTAGGAATCTTGCTAAAATAGTCTCTGGTAAGTTTAATAATAAAGTTGTCGATACGGGGTATTTGCGCCGCATCGTACAATTTATTGTTGCTCACAAAAAGTCGCCACTCAGACTGGGCTGAACGATACATTCCGAGACAGGCTCTAAGGCACTTCCGCTCAAATTCTCGGAGTTTTTCCGTCGTAGTGTGGTTTAAATTCCACCACACAGGCGCAGCGTATGTTAAGATCGGCCGAATTAGGAGCATGTATAAAACAATTTTGGTCCTTGGGGCCAGCGAGCGGTTACGAAATATTCTGCCGTTTGCCATGAATGCAGAACGGGCTTTAGCTAGTGATGTGTCTGCATGTAGATTGCCTCTGGCTAGGTAATCAATATGGTAACCCAGATATTTAACCTGCTTTTTATGAGGTATAGAAACCCTGGTTGCTGCATCCTGATTGATAATTTCAATTCTGAAATTGCTCGCTCCCTTTTTGGCATCGGAGGATATGAAATACGTCGGTTTTTTGAAAAGTATGGTCTCGCATTTATGTGGATTTAGTTTCAGATTCCAAGCGATATAATAGCTATTAATTCTGTTGACTATCTCCTCGAGCCTGTCCCGGACTGTTAGCGCTCTACCATGGGAGGTATATACGATAAAGTCGTCCGCAAATCCCAGAGCCTTCGTAGGACTACCCGGCTGGTTCAAATCAAAAAGGTTTAAAAGGTCGCCTATGAATATATTGAACAGGATCGGGGAGTTAACTTTTCTGCTGCTTTGTTTATAGGGCATGCACCAGGATCGTGAGATAGGGCACATTTCACACACCTATAATTTAAGCTGCAGTTTTTACTCGCGTGACCTACCCTCTGAAATCTTATACACTGGTAAATGTCTTTTTTACGTAGCCGTTACCATTTTATTTTTTGAAACGCCACAGCTTTTATTTTAAACACCTCACTTAGATTGCTGTCACAATCACACTGCATTATGTGGTGATAAGCTTCCGGGTTCCTTCGAAAAATAAATTTGGAAACACTTAAAATTCTCACTTTTGAGAACGTCAGATCCTCCAGTTCTTTCTTTATTTCATCAACTGAAAAACTGCCCTTTACACCTTTTAGCAGGATAGACTTAGGCTTACTGAAGTTTGGCGTAAACGAATATTATTGCGCTCCAACTTCTTGCAGCCCACCCTTGGTTTTCTCATACACCTCAACATTATTGCAGCATATAGTATGGTTATTCGAATTAACATCTTTAATTGTGCAATCGTTTTTATTAAAATTACCGTTTTTAATAATGTGAATAATTGTCAACAGGTCCGAATCAAAACTGTCACCCGAATATGGGTGACGTGGCAGTCAACCTTGTGAAGAGCCTCAATCTTTAAACAAAATCAATGGTTAAGGAGCAAAAATAATCGCCCAACGTGGGGCTCGAACCCACGACCCTGAGATTAAGAGTCTCATGCTCTACCGACTGAGCTAGTCAGGCTACAAGGGCTAAAAAAACCGATGCTGTATTTATTTTGGAATGATTGTTATTAAATGATAAGCGTTATTTTTAACTAAATTAGTGTCTACTTGTTACGAAATTTGATCATAAATTGTGGTGTTTGTAGGGAGAGTGCATACGCGAGAAAACCCAGCCCGAATTTCAACGCTGGGTGTGATTCATGGACCTGAAGGACGGACCATTACCCGCGGTATTTTGTGACGGAAAACGGAAAGGATATTCGCATAGACGTATAAGAATCATGCATATGGAAATACAGGGATGGAACATAAACCCGTACTTTAGACGAGGCATGTGAAGCCATCTCCGCAGTGAAGGGAGGTATAGTCGCGTTATTTGTGGAACGGATTCATGATTGGTTGTAACATAAAAGCGCAAAAGTTCAAAACTGCACATTGAACTTTATTACTTGTATT